GCCCCTCAGAAATGCACCGTTTTGGAAGCACCTTTTCCCCCTTCTTCCCTGCTCCTGGAATGCAAGTGGGATGGCTGGGGCTGCAGCATCAAACTGTACCTTGAGGACATCTAAAGGCCAAACTCTAGGCTGCGGGGGCAGAAAGAGGGAAGCCTGGGTTCCTGGGAACTGTGCAGCTGCTGTGTTAGCCGTGGGTTACTGACCTCTGAACTGTTGTACACAAAAGAAATAAACCTCGATTTCTTCTAAAAACAGAATGTGGGCAGAGAAGATAAAGGTGCTGAGTGAACCTTTAACCTCCCTGGATAAATGGAAGGTTTATGTCCCATCTCAAGGGGACAGAAGCTTCTTAGCCCCAGTCAGGTGGGGAAGTAGAGGCTCAAAAGGGTCAGCTGCAGCTGGGGACGGGCACAAGCCTGTAACCTCTGCACTCTGGGCAGCTGAGGCAGGAAGATCTTGAGTTTGAGTCCAGCCCTACAACTTAGCAATTTAGCAAGACCTTTTCTCAAGCAAATAAATAGATAGGTGGGGAAGTAGGTAGGGAGGTAGATAGGCTAGGGACGGGGCTCAGGGTGAAAGCTGTTGATTTAATCTCCAGTACCACCACCATCAAGAAAACATCAAACTCATTTGTCAGCAGATACCAGAAATTCCAACTTCCATATGAAAGTTTCCAGTTTTAAGATGGTGGCTCTGATGAAAACCATCATGTGGCCCAGTGACAGACCCTGAGGATGCTACTTGGCCCACAGGCTGCTGGTTCAGCAGCTCTGCCACCTCTGTTCTCTGCCACACGCGAGCCCAAGGAGCCTTCATAAAATCAGCGAAAGGGACCCGGTCATGTGCACCGTTACTACCCCACAGCCTGAGTGACAGGCCTCACCACCAAGTGCTGGGCCCGACTTCTCTGCTGCACACCACGCCCCGTTTCTTCTTCCCAGTGTTCACAAGGGATCCTGGCGCATACAGAGAGCAGGAATACACCGTGTTAGCTTTCTGAGCGTACGATAAATGCCACCTTATAAAGAGGACAGGTTGATTGGTTGGTTGGAGACAGGGTTCATGTAGCCCAGGCTGGCCTGGCACTCACAGAGATCGTCCTGCCACAGCCCCTTGAGAACAGGTGTCTCAGCTTGGGGTTGTGGGGGCTCCGTCCACGCTGGCCTGGCCCTGTGGCCTTGGGCCTGTAGCGAGCAGCAAAGCCCTTCACCCCGGGGCCAGGGAGAAAAGACGGCAGGGCCCCACGGTCACCCTCGGGCGCACCGCCTGCTAGGCCCTTCCTCCTAAAGGACCTGCTGCCCCCGAAAGTGCCATACCGGGCCCCAAACCATCAATGGGGGCCCTTTGGAGGACCTCGCCACGCAGCCCACAGAGACCGGTGCGCACTCGGGCAGCGCCCTGCCCTGGTGCCTGTGTGTGGCGCTGCCCAGCAGCACATTCGTGCTTGCAGGCTGCCCTAGCTGTAAGAGCAGAAGACTGTCACCGTGTTGATTCTTTAGAATGTTTCTACTGATTCATTATTAATTTTAATTGAATGAGTTTTATTGTATTAATGAGTACTTAACAGGAAAAGAATCACAAAAATAAAGCATTGAGTTCTTGATACTTATTGTTTATAAAAAAGCATCAAAATTTTCAACGTGGACCGGTTTTTGGTGTACAAAATCTAAAAACATCAGAAATAAATTCATATATGAACTACAATGAAAACACCACAAAAACAAAAATAAATAAATAAATAAAAAGTCAGGCGTGGTGGCGCACACCTGTAATCCCAGCACTC